GTAATTAATACACGTATTCAAAGTAACACGCGTTTTTTTTTATTTTATTTTATGAGTTATTACGAGTTACACAAGCAGACGTTTGCTTTCTTCATTCTATATGTTTTGTAAAAATAAAATGAAAAAATTTGGGCCGTGTGTTACAGTGGCGCGACAGACACGAGTGATCGAGGATGGTTTGCCGGTTTGTTTTCGTCGTCTAAATCGACTAAACCGACTAAATCTGTAACTGAATCAGAGTCGCAGTCAACGGAATCTGTTGAACCAAAACAAAGAATAGTGAGGTAATGTCAGTGACATAGTCAATAGAAAATTATATTTATTATATAATAGAAAATTATTATGATAAATTAATTTTGTTTTGATATAAATCGTTCTTGAAAGTAGCATACATGAAATACTGAATTATTACTTCTATATATGATTATATTACGAAATTAATATATATTAAAAATTATTGCAAAATTAGATTAAAACAAAATAATTGAATCTCTTTATTTTTAAAACGATTTTTTAATCGGTAGAAATCGTTGGCTGATGTTATTATCGATATATGTCGTATTACGTTTTAAAAACGAGCTGATATTTTGAGGAATTCATATCAATGTTTTAGGTACGCTGGACGTCCCACTGCATCATCACCTGCTACTGGTAGCAAAATGCAACATCTCAAGGAACTTAAACAATTGCTCGATGACTCCCTCAGTCTTTAATATGATCCTTTTTAGCACTGTGTATAGAACTGAAAGTTTATTTATTTCTCTCTTAATGTAACTATTACTATATTTTTGTGTCCTGCTCGACGTACACCACAGAACAGAGATTACATCGTAGCCGTTTAAACGATTTCTTCGTAATGGTGATTCCTATGTTTTTATATTTACATGCGCGCATAAATGTTTCACGTTCGTTTGTCCGAATCTTTTATTTCCCTTATTTCTTATTCATTTTTTTTTTTTTTCCATTGACGCATGTATCCGTATATATGTAGAATTTCACAGACTGAACTGTGATAGCTTTTAACTAATATTAATATATTTAATTGAGTATCAGTTAATTTATGATCTTTTAGTTATATTCATTCTATCTTGCAATCAATTATCATCTATATGTGCATTTCATTTTAGTTATGTTTGAATGTAAAGTTTATGTATCTTTCTCTTAGTCGGCGCGATTGTGCATGTAAGTTTGAATGATATGCTTAATAAGTGATGGATATGATTCAATGAAAATTTATATCGGTCAGTTGTACAGATATATACATTTAAACGTAAAAAGAGAAACTTGCTAGTCCATTGATCTACATGAACGTGAAGCATTTGTGCGCCAGTTTGTTCTCTGTACTTCATTCTATTCGTACTTTACTCTAAATTAATTTTGTGAAGTCGATAAGATTACAAGAAGGGAAAGTATTATTACTAATTTATGCAATGTTACGCAGTGCGTACGTTTTAACGTATAGTATCCTGTAGTGCACTCTCTCTCTCTCTCTCTGGACCGGAGAGACTGTTTATGGTAAAAGGCTTACGGACATACAATACGGCAAAATTTTTTTCTAGTGATTTATTTATATGCCGTGAGATGGCTGCCAATCACTTTAACTTTTTATCGTCGCTGTATTTTTATAAAAAATTAAATGATTGGCGGATTAAGTAACACGCGCTCGACGAAAAAGTTGCGTGACTGAAGTAGCACTATTTCGTGAGTTCTGTATCTCACTGTATCTCGATTGTACGAACATTACGTTAAGTGCCAGTAAATAGAAATGAATCGAGCTCGGATTCTCGATCTTGGTTTAAACTTGAAAGTAGTGTTCACGATCGAGGCCCTAGTGCTATCCTGTAGACAGTGTCAACGGATACAGCTTAGAGTGTTGAGAGTAGAAAATAAATTAGTAATACACTTAATAGCATCTAGAAATTAATTAATTTTAATAATTTAGCCGGGCAACCGCGGCTCGCGTGGGCCGCGATGTAGCGTAGCGAAGGTGCGTAGTATTTATTCTTCTATCCATACCACTTAAAGACGGGACACAAAGACGGGACGGAGAAGTTTTGAGGAGAAATACCGCTGCATATCTTTGTGCTGATCAAAAGAGAGCAATGTACCGCAATATTCGGTTCCTATATAGAAGAGCATATTAATGAGAAAGCAGTCTTATTTTGCTTTACATGTATGAAAACGACAGTTGTGTGATATCTCCATTGATTTAGCACACGATATTATTAGACAATTGAACAAAAGCCACAGTACCTACCGTTCTATTTGTTCCTATCTGTTGTACCGTCGTGTACGTATTTATCACAATAATACGTATGTATTTAAAAAAATAGAAATTCTAACAAACAGGTCTGTCAGTTTAAAATTTCATTTAGCAAATATCACTGATATTACGCCCGATATTGTAGTATCTTATCTTGCTGAATTAAATTATCTCATTGTCTCACATGCCTGATTAATATTGCCTCCTTTACATTAAATCACGCGTAAATTCCTTGAAATAATTCAAAGAAAATGTAGTTATTTCTTATTATTTGTACATTTTAGAATCTTTTTTTAAGATTGTGATTAATTATAGGTACTTGAATTTTACAAGAAAAAAGATTGATTCTGTGAATTAAAAAAATTTAAGAGAAGGGAGGGACGTATAAAAGAAAAGAAAGAAAGAAATGTATTTTGTGAAAATTAATTTTTCATTGTGCGTAACGTTAAAAGTATAATATAGTGTGTAAATGGATCATCAAAAAATAGATACATCGAGATACGGAGAGAGAAGAGTAAGCTTCTTTGGTGTGCAGGCTAGCAAAAAATATTAATCTCGAGTAGAATATGTAATGTTGCAAGCCACGTACTAACGGCGCGTATTAAAGTAAACTATTACTACTACGCTTAAAAGATACACGGTATTGTGTTTCATCGGACAAGCAATGAATGTCGAGTACACATCACGTAATCAAGTTTTACGCGCGCGCATACATGCACTTTTGACGAGCATATTTCCAGGAACTTGCTGAATACTCGCATAAGCTCGACATTCCTTTATTGCGTAGTACAATAAATAAAATAGAGATTTTTTTATAACAAATAAACGGTATAATATATATATATATATATATATATATATTTATAGCGTCAGTTCGGCTTAATAATCGGTCTGGCCCAACACACTGTACATGATCCTCTTGAAGCTATTGCTCTGATGAATCTTCTCGCCTTCGTCGTCGAGCACGTTTATCTGAAAATTTAATTGTTCGCAGACGCTCTCCACGTATTCGTAAATTACAAAGGTGCATTACAAATGAGGGAATTTCAATTTGTGCCATGGACAAGACAAGTCTCTATCTCAAGAGGCAGCATGCGTGTTCGTAGCGCATGAAAAAACGGAGCAGTCGGGAATATTAGCGTGATGAGAGCGGATTTGCCCTATGAATTCATTCCTCTACGCGAAAGCAGGTGAGCATTTTATTCAAAAGTATCTCAGAAAACGCACGTACAAGTTCCTGCGAAAATTTTAATAGTCGTTGATAAGATCCTTAACGAAAGGGAGGGGGAAGGGACGTCTATATGATCCACCCTTAACGAAACAGATGCCGTAGATTAGATTAGCGGCGTCTCCGAATGGCGATTAACATTAGTAATGATAATGTGTATTGGATATATATATATATATATATATATTAATATATATATATTAATATGAATCGCTGTTAAACAATCGAAGAATTCGGCGCGAGTAAATTCCGTTTTTTTTTTTTTTTTTTTTTTATAATTTAGGAAAGGAACTGTCGGAATTTCCGTGCGATTTTCTCAACGGTGGAGGATTATTACCGCGAGATACCTTGGCACAGTGCATCGGTAGACGAAAAAGAAAGAAGTACAAGAGAAGTGACGCCTCGTGCCAAGTCGCTTATATAATCCGGTGCCGTTTTATCGTCCGTCTGCGTTGGGTAACTTATAGTACCACGGCGCCGGGCCAGTGATCGATAAATCTTCCCGGTAAATAAATGGCGAACAGTGACTGAGTGACTCGATAATAATAAATGTGAGTAATGTGAAGATCGATTATCGCATGCTTTTTTGGCGTAAGAAATCTTTTTTTT